TTTGCATGGAATATCTTTTTCCACCCCTTACCATAAGTTTATGTGAGTCCTTATGTGTTAAGTGAGTCTCCTGAAGGCCCAGATACTTAGTTGATGAATTCTTATCCATTCTGCCATTCTGTATCTTTTAAGTGGAGCATTTAGGTCATTTACATTCAACATTAGTATTGAGATGTGAGATACTATTCTGTTCATCATGCTGTTTGTTGCCTGAATACCATGTGTGGTTTTGTTTGTTTGTTTGTTTGTTTTTATTGTGTCATTGTTTTATAGGTCCTGTGAGATTTATGCTTTAAGGAGGGTCTATTTTGATGTATATTTTGGTGTATTTTAAGGATTTGTTTCAAGATTTAGAGCTCCTTTTAACAGTTCTTGTAGTGCTGGCTTGGTAGTGGTGAATTCTCAAAGCATTTGTTTGTCTGAAAAAGACTGCATCTTTACGTTATTTATGGAGCTTAGTTTCACTGGATACAAAATTCTTAGCTGATAGTTGTTTACTTTAAGGAGGCTAAAGATAGGCCCCCAATTCCTTCTAGCTCGTAGGTTTCTGCCGAGAAATCTGCTGTTAATCTGATAGGTTTTCCTTTATAGATCACCTGGTGCTTTTGCCTCTTGGCTCTTAAGATTCTTTCCTTCATCCTAACTTTGGATAACCTGATAACTGTGTGCCTAGGTGATGACCTTTTTGTAATAAATTTCCCAGGTGTTCTTTGAGCTTCTTGTATTTGAATGTCTGGACCTCTAGCAAGTTCAGGGAAGTTTTCCTTAATTATTCCCTCAAATATGTCTTCCACACTTTTAGATCTCAGTGGCAACAGGGCTGAGATCTTGCCCCAGGTTATAAGCCTCCCCACTGAGAAAGCCAGCAGGGGTCTCAGACCTCGCCCTTCCCCACCTGCCCACACCATCAGCTGTGGTTTCTGCACTCCTGTCTGTACTTCCCATTTGCTCCCCTCTGGATTCTGCTCAGGAAAATTCATGCTCAGTTGAAATTACTACAAGTTCAACTAGGAGCTTCCTTCACCCTGTGGCCTCTCCCCAGTTCCACTGGCTGCCTTCCCCAAGAACGTCTATGAAATAAGGCCAGGAATGGCTTCCTTGGGCTCAAACTGGGGACCAGAAGTGCCTACAGGGCTCTTCCTGCAGCTTCTTCTATTTTTATATTTTGTTTGGCTCCCTAAATCCATTTCAGCTCTAGGTAAGGTTAAATCTTTCTCTGTGATCTGGATTTTCAGGTTCCCCAGAGGGGACGTGTGTTCAGAGGCAGACTTTTCCCCCTCTCACACTTTAGGAACTCACAATTTCTCAGCTTAGACCAATCAAAAAAAAAAAAAAAAAAAAAAAAACAGCATAACTGTGATAGTATTGGGGCTCAGTTGAAAAGACTCTGAAGAGAAGGAGGGAAGAAGTCTATTCTTTCTTCAACTGAGCTTGATAGCTAACATTAGTAAGGATGCAGACCACCAAGAATCTTGATTGGCATGAAACGCTGGCTTCAAGTTTATAACAGCATGGAACACCATAGACTAGAAAGGTTATCTTTTACTAAGGCAGGACTTCATTATTCAAGGATCAAGGTCCTGATTTTTGAATACATTTTTTTCTTTTATTGATTCATTCCACAAATATTTATTGAATGCCAGTAATGTGTCAGCATTGTGATGATACTGCTATATTTACTTGGCAAATGTTTATACTATATCTGGGTAATGTATTTACTAGAAACTAAGAATCGTTAGGGGTACAAGGGCAGCAGAGATATGGTGTCTGCCCTCAGGGGAGCTTATAGTCTTGGGAAAATACAAGAGAACTAGGAAACATAGGGTATCAGGATCTTCTAGGCTAAATGATAAATATGCACTGAAGTTGGATGAGGAAACAACAAGCAAACTGAGTATTGTCTGTTATTGCATGTACTCTCTAACCTAGGGGTTCTCAAACTTTTTGGTCTCAAAAATTCTTTATGTGGCTGGGCACAGTGACTCATGTCTGTAATCCTCCCACTTTGGGAGGCCGAGGTGGGAGGATTTATTGAGCCTGGGAGTTTCAGACCAGCCTGGGCAACATAGAGAGACACTATTGTTAAAACTCAATCAATCAATCTATCAATAAATTTTTAAGACTTCATGCTGTTCATATGGGTACATATTAATATTATATTAGAAACAAAAACACATTTAATAATACTTATATAATAATTCATTTTAAAATAACAACATGGTTTCAGGGATCTGGCAGGGCCTTTGTCTCCTTGCACCCACAAACTGTGCTTAGCTCCACTCTTCACTGCTCCATGCCCTCCACTCAGGGAGGCCCAGGTGACTGCCACAGCCCCTGTCTTCTGCGACCTTCAGGAATTGGAAGATGCCATAGGCAGGATGCCAGGACACTCAGAAGTAGGAGATGGGCTAATGGGGACTGAGGACCATTAACCTAAAATAATAAAAAAGTCAGAATCAATTCCTCCTCCAAGATGGATGACTAGATGCACCCTTAATTTTTTGGAATAGTTTCAGTAGGAATTATACCAGCTCTTCTTTGTACATCTGGTAGAATTCAGCTGTGAATTTGTCTGGTCCTGGGCTTTTTTTGGTTGGTAGGCTATTTACTGATTCAGTTGCAGAGCTCAATATTTGTCTGTTCAGGGAATCAGTTTCTTCCTGGTTCAGTTTTGGGAGGTATATGTGTCTAGGAATTTATCCATCTCTTAATAGGTTTTCTAGTTTGTTTGCACAGACATGTTTGTAGTTTCCGATGCTTATTTTTATTTCTGTGGGGTCAGTGGTAACACCCCCTTTGTCATTTCTTATTGTGTTTATTTGGATCCTCTTTCTCTTCTTTATTAGTCTAGCTAGTGGCCTTTTTAATTTTTTCAAAAAACCAACTCCTGGCTTCGTTGATCTTTTGAATGGTTTTCAGAGTCTCAATTTCCTTCAGTACAGCTCTGATTTTGGTTATTTCTTGTCTTCTGCTAGGTTTGGGGTTGGTTTACTAGTCTTGCTTCTCTAATTCTTTCAGTTGTGATGTTAGGTTGTTAATTTAAGATCATCCTAACTTTTTGATGTGGGTGTTTAGTGCTATGAATTTCCCTCTTAACACTGCCTTAGCTGTATTCTAGAGATTCTGGTATGTTGTATCTTTGTTCTCATTAGTTTCAAAGAACTTATTGATTTCTGCCTCAATTTCATTATTTATGCAAAAGTCATTCAGGAGCATTGTTTAATTTCCGTGCAATTGCATGGTTTGAATGATTTTCTTATTTCTGACCTCCTTTTTATTGCACTGTGGTCTGAAAGTGTGTTTGGTATTTTGGTTCTTTTTTATTTCCTGAAAATTGTTTTATGTCCAATTATGTGGTCAATTTTAGAGTATGTGCCATGTGGCAATGAGAAGAATGTATATTCTGTTGTTTGGGGGTAGAGAGTTCTGTAGAGGTCTGTAAGATCAATTTGGTCCAATGTTGAGTTCAGGTCCTGAATATCTTTGGTAATTTTCTGCCTCAGTGATCAAATACTGTCAGTGGAGTGTTGAAGTCTCCCACTGTTATCATATGGGAATCTAAGTCTCTTCGTAGGTCTCTAAGAATTTGCTTTATGAATCTGAACAGTCCTGTGTTGGGTACATATATATTTAGAATAGTTATGTCTTCTTGTTGAATTGAACCCTTTACCATTATGTAATGTCCTTCTTTGTCTTTTTTAATCTTTGTTGATTTAAAGTCTATTTTGTCTGAAATTAGGATTGCAACCCCTGCTTTTTCCTGATTTCCATTTGCTTGGTAGATTTTTCTCCATCCCTTTATTTTGAGCCTATGGGTGTCATTACATGTGAGATGGGTCTCTTGAATACAGCATACCATTGGATCTTGCTTTTTTTTATTCATCTTGCCACTCTGCCTTTTAAGTGGGTCATTTACCCCATTTACATTCAAGATTATTACTGATATGCGTGGATTTGATACTGTCATTGTGTTGTTAGCTGGTTGTTATGCTGATTTGTTTAAAAAACCACATTTATTAATATCACCATCATTCTTATTAAAATAATATTTAAGTATTGGGAAACTATCAAGTCATAGTACAGATAATAAGGTTTCCAAAATTCAAATTGCTCTTCAAAAGCTTGAACTTAACCATTAAAACATCTGTTGTTAGGTTTTTTTCTTAAAATGATGGAATTACTTTGTTCATTTTCAAGAAGGTGTCTGGCAGATATCCAACTCTGAAAAACTATATTTTATCCATTAGTCATTTTTCTCCAGTGAAAATGGTATCCCATGAAAAAGCAACTAGTTTTCTTGCAACTCAAACAATCATACAAGTTCTTTTCCTCAAGAAATCATCATAGTTTAGATTGCAGCCAAAGTGTTTCATGCACTGAAGGGTTAATATCTAATAAAAATTAATAACTTTTGCTGCTTTGCCAAGGACATCTTACTACAAGTATGTACAGTGAAGGATGCAGTGACTGCTAGTACAGTTAGTTGTCACTGCCTTCATTCATGCAAATACGCAGCAGTTTTGTCCAACATTGCTTTTGCACCATCAGTACAAATGTCAACACAGTGAAAATGGCCAAGGGTATTGGGTGAATATAGAGGTCCATGACCCACACATTGAGAACACTTGCTCTAACACATCTCAGCCTTGCACTTAATGCAAGAGAACTAGATCTGAAAGGGAGAGGACTGACCTGTAGGATGGTGCTAACTTCAAACAAACAAAACCTCACTCACCATAATGCTCTGAATATTTTTAACAGCTAACAGTTTGTAAAATAAAAGCAAGCATTCAATTAAGTTGAATGAATATATACTTAAAGCTTGAATCTTTTTTCTTCTAGTATGTGCTCCTTTGGATTGAAAAAATAATAAAAATTCTAGAATAATACATTAAAAATTACTGTAATTCTGTTCACTAAATTTCAATTTAAGAATTTTATATAATTTTTTAAGTCTCAGTAGCTTCAACTCTGAATCTAAATTCTGAGTTTTCTTACAGAAAATGAAAAGGTTGACCTGGATGTCTTGATGGATGCAGCAAAAGCTTTTACAGGTGAGTGGGAATTTATATAAGATATAATAAAATTGAGATCTTAATGCTTTGTAGATAACTACCTTTTAAAGCAGTATTTTACCTCCTCCAGAAATCACTGATAAATTCATTCTGCTTTTTCACCATTTATTGATAATTTTGACTTGTTGACAACATTTTGGAATATTAAAAATTTAGGAAAAGTGTGGGTACTCTCGAAAAGAGGTATTAACTTATCTAATGTGTAGGCCAATAATGTGTTCATTTCACTAGTGTTTAAAGAACCAAAATATTGGTGAACACAGTGAATCTCAGTGTGAAGTTTTCACAGAAGGAAATGTGATCACTATGAACAATTAGTCCCATAATTCAGGCCATGAAGCAGAAACAGAAGTATTACTTGCAGGTAGAATTACATAGATTCTATATACCATCTGTCTTAGTCCATTCATGCTGCTATAACAAAATATCACAAACTAGGTGATTCAAAAACAATAGAAATTTCTTTCTCAAAGTTCTAGGGGCTGAAAAGTCCAAGATCAAGGCACATTTGATGTCTGGTGAGGGTTGCTTTATGCTTCAAGATGGTGCCTTAAACATTGTGCCCTCACATGGGGAAGGGCAGACAGGCAAAAGAAAAGGGGGCTGATTGTTGTATGAGACCTCTGTTATATGGGCCTTAGTCCAATTCACAAGCGAGGAACCCCTATAACCTAACCACCCCTAAAGGCCCTACCTGTTAATACTGTTGCATTGGGGGTTAACTTTCAACATGAATTTTGGAAGGGACACAAACATTCAAGCCATAGCGCATCATAAGTCACTGAGCAGTTATGCCACCCCCCTGTTACTCCATGCTATCCCAGCTCGTACCCAGAACAGAAGTGTCATCTGTTTATTTGGATTAAAGAATGCTTTCAGGTACTGAACCTCAAAATAACTCTATGTAAGTGAAGTCAACTCATGTATTTATACCTCATTGTGCAGTTAGAAGTAGTGCTATACTGGATTATATTTTTTATAACTAGGAATAATTAAATCTCTTAATATTGTCTTCTGAAACAATTCCCATCTATTCAAAGGAGAAAAGGTTGAAGCTGATAACCTTAAAAATGTGCTGAGAAACATGGGGATCGAGCTAACAGAAAAAGAACACTCGATGCTGTTAAAAACTCTGCCAGTCTGTGGTGAGTATTTAGCATACCATCATGGCATGGAGCTGTGGTATCGTAGGCTCCTGGACAAGAACTGTGAGAAACCCGCTGTGTTAGTCAGGGTTCTCTAGAGGGACAGAACTAGTGGGGGAGAGAGAGAGACAGAGAGAGAGAGACAGAGAGGAATTTATTAAGGAGTATTAACTCACACAATCACAAGGACCCACAATAGGCCGTCTGCAAGCTGAGGAGCAAGGAGAGCCAGTCCAAGTCCCCAAACTGAAGAACTTGAAGTCCAATGTACAAGGGCAGGAAGCATCCAGCATGGGAGAAAGATGTAGGCTGGGAGGCTACGCCAGTCTTGTCTTTTCACATTTTTCTGCCTGTTTCATATTCTAGCCACACTGGCAGCTGATTCGCTTGTGCCCACCCAGATTAAGGGTGGGTCTGCCTTTCCCAGCCCACTGACTCAAATGTTAATCTGCTTTGTCAATACCCTCACAGACACACCCAGGATTAATACTTTGCATCCTTCGATCCAATCAAGTTGACACTCAGTATTAACCATTACACCCCCTAAGGAATGAAATTCTGGCATAAGAAACCCAGTTCTTGGCCAGGCGTGTTGGCTTACACCCACAATCCCAACACTTTGGGAGGCCGAGGTGAGCAGATCAGCTGAGGTCAGAAATTTGAGACCAGCCTGGCCAACATGGTGAAACCCTGTCTCTACTAAAAATACAAAAAAATAAACTGGGCATGGTGACAGTTGCCTGTAGTCCCCTACTTGGGAGGCTGAGGCATGAGAATCACTTGAACTCGGGAGGCAGAGGTTGCAATGAGCCAAGATACTGGGCAATACAGTGAGATGCCATCTCAAAAAAAAAAAAAGAAAGAAAGAAACCCTATTCTTGTCACTTGTGTTTTAATTTGGAAATGAGAAAGTTCTCTCTTTTGCATTCAGCCAGTAGACCTCTGCTAAATATTTTAATAGCTACACAGCTAAATTTTTCTGTAGCCCCCTGATGCATCCAACATTCTCAGTCCCTCCCCTGTTAGCCCTCCTACCTCCCCACAATCCATCAATTAAAACAGAAAAACACCTGAGAGCAGGGGCCTCCAGGACTGTGTGCTTGTACTGTCAGTATCCAACCTGGTCAGCAGCACAAACAGCCCCTCAAAAGTTCCACCTCCAGGGCACTTGCGCAGAACTACCCATAAAGACCCCAGAGGTCAGCCTGTGCTTCAGAACTGTGCCTCCTGCCCAGTCCTAGAGACCCTGTGTAGATATCCTTTCCTTCCATCGCTCTTTTCCCCAATTTTCCCCAGGCAAGAGTAAGGCTAAACATTGCCAAGGGGGATAGTGCCCTTGAGGCAGAAGTAGCACCCTGGGCAGCAAATGCTCAGTACCCATTTGAATTCATCCCCATATTCTTTTTTTTTTTTTTTTTCTGACGGAATCTCACTCTGTCGCCCAGGCTGGATATATAACTTGGAATAATTAAATCTCCAGCCCAGGCTGGAGTGTAGTGGCACAATCTCGGCTCACTGCAACCTCCATCTCCTGGGTTCAAGCGATTCTCCTGCCTCAGCCTCCCGAGTAATGGATTACAGGCACCCGCCACCATGCATGGCTAATTTTTGTATTTTTAGTAAAGATGGGGTTTCACCATGTTGGCCAGGCTGGTCTTGAACTCCCAACCTCAAGTGACCCGCCCGCCTTGGCCTCCCAAAGTGCTGGGATTACAGGCGTGAGCCACCATGCCTGGCCCACCCCATATATTCTTAAAGCTGTGGTTACTCATTTTGTCTAGCATTTCCTTCAGATTGTTCTCTCAAAGGGTCAGTTATGAGAATTGCAGCCTTCTTAGGAGTTTGGTTCTGAGAGAGCAGAAAGGAGAATGCAGATGGACTGTATCGGAGACTACTACAGACACATGCCAGGCATTGAGGGGTTTTTCAGTACTACATATTCTCCTGCCATAGGATGGAGCCTGAGGTGGGGTGGTGCATAAGCCCTCTGTTCTCTATTCTAATTGAATTTCACCTCTGTTTATGGAAAGAGTTTGTTCAGAAAACAACAGTTTTTAATTTTTTATTAAATATTGTTTTTATTACTGTTCAAGTTGATAACTATTTTTCATATCATCCCTTTAGGATCCTCCATTAGGAATAAAGATAGGAACACTTCATGGGCCTAGAGCATAGTCAGGGAAAGGAGAGAAAGGCAAAGTGCAAGAAAGAAGAACAAGAAGGAATAAAGAAAGAAAGAAAAAAAAAAGCAGCAGCACCACCAGCTGGCCACAGTGGCTCACGCCTGTAATCCCAACACTTTGGGAGGCCAAGGCGGGTGGATCACTTGAGGCCAGAAGTTCGAGACCAACCTGGCCAACATGGTGAAACCCTGTCTCTACTAAACATACAAAAATTAGCCAGGCATGGTGGTACACACCTGTAATCCCAGCTGCTCAGGAGGCTGAGGCAGGAGAATCACTTGAATCGGGAGATGGAGGTTACCGTGAGCCAAGATAGCACCATCATACTCCAGCCTGGGTGACAGAGCAAGACTCTGTCTCAAAAAAAAAAAAAAAAAAAAAGCAGAAGCAGCATGTGTGTGTGTGTAGGGCACATCAACTACTGCCATGTGTTTCAACTAGGGGACAGAATGGCCACAATGAGAGCAGTTCATATCTTTTGTTATTATTTGAGGGTGAAATAGAATAAATTTCTAGGTGAATCATGTCTTATAAAAATAGTTTCTTATCCTCTTTTTGACTTGAATTTTACCATATCTTATAGATGGAAAGGTGTATAAGAAAAAATTACTGGATAGTGTGAAGCCTCTCAAAGGTAAGAATATGAAAACAGCAGCTAAAATGTACTGGGCTTTACATTTGCTTTTTTGAATTTCTCACTGATTGAAATCTTGCTATTCCACTGTTTACTGATTCTGAATTTATGCCTCATAACCTACCATTCTTCCTTTGGTATAATTGTATTTGAGCAAGTCACTGTTAGTAATATGTCACTGTAGCAAGTTTGAAATTCTGCTTTCAGCATGTATGATGGCTCACACCTGTAATCTGAGCACTTTAAGAGGCCAAGGCAGGAGGATCACTTGAACCCTGGAGTTCAAGAGCAGCCTGAGCAACTTAGGAAGACCTCATCTCTTCAAAAAATAAGGAAATTAGCTGGCCTGCTGGCATGCACTTGTGGCCCCAGCAACTTGGGAGGCTGAGGTGGGAGGAACACTTGAGGCTGGGAGGTCGAGGCTGCGGGGAGCCAGGATCATGCCACTGCACGCCAGCATGTGCGACAGAAAAAAATCCTATCTTAAAAAAAGAGAGAGGCCGGGCGCGGTGGCTCAAGCCTGTAATCCCAGCACTTTGGGTGGCTGAGACGGGCGGGTCACGAGGTCAGGAGATCGAGACCATCCTGGCTAACGCGGTGAAACCCCGTCTCTACTAAAAAAAATACAAAAACTAGCCGGGCGAGGTGGCGGGCGCCTGTAGTCCCAGCTACTCGGGAGGCTGAGGCAGGAGAATGGCGCAAACCCGGGAGGTGGAGCTTGCAGTGAGCTGAGATCCAGCCACTGCACTCCAGCCTGGGCGACAGAGCGAGACTCCATCTGAAAAAAAAAAAAAAGAGAGAGAGAGAAAGAAACTCTGGGCCAGACGCTGTGGCTCACGCCTATAATCCCAGCACTTTGGAAGGCCAAGGTGGGCAGATCACCTGAGGAAAGGAATTCAAGGCCAGCCTGACCAACCTGGAGAAACCCCATCTCTGCTAAAAACACAAAAATTAGGTGGGCGTGGTGGCTCATGCCTGTAATCCCAGCTACTCGGGAGGCTGAGGCAGGAGAAATCGTTTGAACCCGGGAGGCAGAGGTTGTGGTGAGCCGAGATTGCGCCATTGCACTCCAATCTGGGCAACAAGAGCGAAACTCCATCTCAAAAAAAAAAAAAAAGAGAGAGAGAAAAGAAAAGAAAAAGAAATTCTGCTTTCATTTAGGTTTGTTATCTTTATCACAATTTATCAAATCTGTCTAATTCTTTTTCATCCATGATTACTTCAATTGAAAATTATAGCTCAATGTTGAGGGAGCATTTTCTCTTCTCAACTCTGACACTGAGTGGCCAATATATTATTTCACTCTCCACTTAACATAAATGCATATTTAAAGCTAACATCTTCTGGGCCGGGCACGGTGGCTCACGCCTGTAATCCCAACACTTTGGGAGGCTGAGGTGGGCAGATCACTTGAGGTCAGGAGTTTGAGACCAGCCTGGCCAACATGGTAAAACCCCATCTCTACTAAAAATACAGAAATTAGCTGAGCATGGTGGCACAAACCGGTAATCCCAGCTACTTGGGAGGCTAAGGCAGGAGAATCACTTGAACCTGGGAGGCAGAGGTTGCAGTGAGCCGAGATCACGCCATTCCAGCCTGGGCAACAAGAATGAAACTCCATCTCAAAAATAATAATAATAATAATAATAAAGTTGGCATCTTCTACTTCAAATTATTTGTATTTCTTTTCCATCCTCTTAATTCCTAAGGAAAAAAAGTCAGTGTCAGTAATCTGGAAACTCTTCTAAATAATATGGAAATCGAAGTTGGGAAAGAGGAATATGAGGACCTACTGAACCATCTGCCAGTTGATGGTAAGTGTTTCAGATACCACTGTACCTAGGAGAAACGTAGGGCTTCTGTAGGAAGGCTTCTGAAAGTAAACCTATTTTTAACCTCTTTGAAAAGCTTATGAAATATTTCAAACACACCTAAAAACAGAGAACAATACAACAAACATTGTGTGCCCACTGACCAGAGTTAACAAATGTTACTATTTTGCCATACTTGCTTCATACATTCTCCTGCCTCCCTCCCTTCTCCTTCCCTCCCTCCCTCCCTTACTTCCTTCCCAAGTAAACCTTTTTATAATAAGACAAAGTTTTCTTAATAACTCAATAAGACCGTTTTAACTAGACAAATCTGTCGGAGACAAAGCTAGAATAATTCATTAGGAAGAAATTGCTAAGGAATGAGCCCCTGGCTAAGATTTCCTTATTAGATGGCTCTTCCCCTTGAAAAACAAGCTTCCATCTGAGAGCCAGACAGCACATCTTTCAGTAGAGCCAGCATATGCCAACCCAAAATAAATAGTTTTTCTCCTCTAATTCAGGGTTTCTGTTCTCAACTAGCGATAGGCAGGTGTAACTAAAGTAGGCCACTGCTATCAGCAAACATCTTCCATGCTACCTTCACCTGTAGCTGGCCCTACCATAGAAAACAGTTTTGGCCTAATTTGTAGTTTTTTGTTTTGTTTTGCTGAGACTGAGTCTTGCTCTGTCACCCAGGCTGGAGTGCAGTGGCACAGTCTCGGCTCACTGCAACCTCCACCTCCCAGGTTCAAGCGAGTCTCATGCCTCAATCTCCCAAGTAGCCGGGATTATGGGCATGCACTACCACACCCAGCTAATTTTTGTGGGTTCATTGTTTTTGTTTTTTGTTTGTTTGTTTGTTTTTTGAGATGGAGTCTCCCTCTGTCGCCTAGGCTGGAGTGCAGTGGTGCAATCTCAGCTGACTGCAACCTCCACCTCCCAGGTTCAAGCAATTCTCCTGCCTCGGCCTCCCGAGTGGCTGGGATTACAGGCACCCTCCACCACTCACAGCTCATTTTTTGTATTTAAAAATACAAATAATTATTTGTATTGTTTATAATAATTACAATACAATATAATAATAATTGTATTGTTTCACCTTGTTGGCCAGGCTGGTCTCCAACTCCTGACCTCAAGTGATCCATCTGCCTCGGCCTCCCAAAGTGCTGGGATTACAGGCATGAACCACCGCACCCGACCTAATTTTTGTATTTTTAATAGAAGCAAGGTTTCGCCATGTTGGCCGGGCCAGTCTCAAACTCCTGTTCTGCATGTCTTACCCTCCCAAAGAGCTGGGATTACAGGCATGAGCCACCCTGCCCAGCCGTAATTTGTCGTTTAAAACCTTACACACCCTGGGCTTAACATTAATAATTATCCATAATTTTGTCTGGCCCTTCCTCCTATCATGAAAAAGTCACCATAAATTACTTTTTAATTGTAACATTGTCCCCACATGTTTAGCTAGGAGTCCTCAAAAATGCTTCCTGCTGGAAAATATTGTTACCGATGAGGTCTTTTTTAGAATTCTTTGTTTCTTTAATGACAACTTTTTTTTCTCATCCAACAGTGTGACTATTTCTATACCACTGAATTTTTTCATTTGTTTAGCTAGCATATACTATATGCAAAACAATGAACTAGAGAGTAGACAATTTAAACCCAGTAGTGTAATAAAATTAAGGCATAATTTCTGCACTCAAGTAGATTACAGTCTTGAAGGGTAGAGGTGGGAACATAAGCAAAATTTGTAGATTAAGAAGATAGCATTCCTTCAAGGTTTAAAGGTTCACTGTTTATGTACATAAGTGACTTCTAGGTTTCAAATTCAATCATGTCTATTAAAACACGCTCCCCTTATGGGTCTGAAGGAAGAGAAAGGCCTATAGAAGGAATTACTATTAAGCTTGCTTCATCTCAATGTTGAGTCATTTGATACTTTATGGAAAGTGGTATTAATTAAGTAGATGTTTACTTTAAACTTACAGCTTGATCTTTTTCTATCCTCTGTTTCTTCTTCACTTTGAGTTAAAAAGTTACTAGAGAAAATTAGGAGAAATAGCTGAATTCCAGTCCTTTATATTACAACTTAAATTTTCATGTCAGTTGTCTAAGATTTGGTCTCTATGTCTGACTTGTCTTTTCTTATAGAAAATGAAATGGTTGATGTGAATGTGGTGATGGATGAAGCAAAAGCTTTTACAGGTGAGTCAGAAGTCATGGTGAAAAGGGCATTCATTTTTAACTAAGACCTTAATGCTCTATAGAGAAAAAATTTGAATGTTTTTAAACAGTAGATAGATTTTGGCTGGGCATGTGGGCTCACAGCTGTAACCCCGGCACTTTGAGAGGCTGAGGCAGGAGGATCACTTGAGGCCAGGAGTTCAAGACCAGCCTGGGCAACAAAGCAATACCATGTCTCTACAAAAAAAAAAAAAAAATTAGCTGGGCATGGTGGCACGTGCCTGTATTCCCAGCTACTTGGGAGGCTGAGGCAGCTGAGCCCAGGGGTTTGAGGCTTCAGTGAGCTTTGATTACCACTGCACTCCTGCCTGGGAGACAGAGCAAAAACCTGTCTCATAAAAAATATATTTAAATAGTAGTTTTCTCTTCAGACTATTACTAACATGCTAAATTGACACCCTTACAAATTTAACGGTTAAATGTTTGTTTCGTAATGTTACTCTTTGATTTGGGATTTTTCCTGTAGACACTTATGTTATGTAGAGGTTTTGTTTGTTTTGTTGTTGTTGTTGTTGTTTGTTTGTTTGTTTATTTTCTGAAATGGAGTCTCGCTCTTGTTGCCTGGGCTGGAGTGCAGTGGCGTGATCTCGGCTCACTGCAACCTCCACCTCCCAGGTTCGAGTGGTTCTCCTGCCTCACCCTCCCAAGTAGCTGGAATTACAGGTGCCCACTACCACACCTGGCTAATTTTTGTGTTTTTAGTAGAGACGGGGTTTCACCATGTTGGCCAGGCTGGTCTTGAACTCCTGACCTCAGGTGATCCACCCACTTCGGCCTCCCAGAGTGCTGGGATTACAGGCGTGAGCCACTGCACCTGGCTGGTAATTTTTTTCATAATTTGAAATCATTATTCTCTTCCTAAAATTCTTATATGTTAACAATTCTCATCTTTCCAAAGGAGAAAAAGTTAATGTCAGTAATCTGGGGAATGAGCTGAGGAAAATGGGGCTCATACTCACTGATGAGGAGCACAAGAAGCTGCTGAAAACTCTGCCAATTTGCAGTGAGTATTTACCACATCCTTTGAAGCTTGGATTTAGGGGCTTGTGTGTGAAAACTTCTTAAATTATGCATGTATATGCCCAGTAAACCTCATTTAGAAAACACGGTCATCACACGAAAAGAAATCTTGGCCAGATGTGGTGGCTCATGCCTGTAATCCCAGCACTTTGGGAGGCTGAGGTGGGCAGATCAAAAGGTCAGGAGTTTGAGAACAGCCTGGCCAACATGGTGAAACCCTGTCTCTACTAAAAATACAAAAATTAGCCAGGCGTGGTGGCGTATGCCTGTAATCCCAGCTACATGGGAGGCTGAGGCAGGAGAATTGCTTGAACCTGGGAGGTGGAGGTTGCAGTGAGCCAAGATTGTGCCACTGCACTCCAGCCTGGGTGACAGAGCAAGACTCCATCTCTAAAAAAAAAAAAAGAGTCTGGTTGCCTGCTTTTGTTGCTTATATTTTAATACTGAAAGCTAGCAACATCTTTCACTGGGGTTGTCCCACCATCCAGGCTAAATTATCCTGTCGCCCTGGGAGCACTGCCTAATCTCATCATGACCAATGAGAAGGAAACCAGGGAAGAAAGAAAAGGAAGGAAAAAGACAGAAACAGGGAAATACTGTATTTTATTCAATCAATGGATAGATTTATAACAGGGAAAGTGTTCTTTATTGTTGGGTTCATTCTTAAGTGTAACAGAGAAGAAACTTCCAAGCAAATTGGAAGAGGTTTTTTTCCCTGAAATTATGGATGTTGTGTTGTCTTTGTGCTGATTTTGTTAGTCTTCCCATCGTTTAACCTGTATTCTGAATTGTGTCTTATCTTACAGCTAATGGAAAGGTATATAAGAATAGATTGCTCAAAGGTGTGAAGGCCCTCAATGGTAAGTAGGAAGCATGGTGAAAAAGCAAGTTAAAAAATGCTTATGTTTGGTATTTTCTTTTAAATGTTCCAACTTCGCTTCCTGCCAATTTACTGATTCATTGTTAAGACATAACTTATCATTCTTCTTTGGATGCGTTGGCCTTTTGGGATATAAGTTAAAGCAAGTTAAAGCATCATATCACTATAGGAAGTAAGTTAGTTGTTGTTTCAACCGTAAGTCATTATACTTGCCTACTCCTCTCTATTGACCTCTCAGAGAAAACCAAAGCAGAGCCCACTGGATCAGTATTAAGAGAAATACCCTATCTTTCCATACTAACTCTGTGTAAGTAATTATTATTTCAATTGTGAATTAGAAAAAGATGTTTTAGAACACTAAAATAATACAAGAAAACTATGCAACTCTAACCACTTAAAAAAAAACTGATACAGTCTGGCGCAGTGGCTCATGCCTGTAATCTCAGCATTTTGGGACACCAAGGCAGGCAGATCACTTGAGGCCAGGAGTTTAACACCAGACTGTACAACATAGTGAGACCCCATCTCTACAAAAAATTTTAAAATTAGCTGGGCATGGTGACACATACCTATAGTCCTACCTACTTAGGAGGCTGAGGCAGAAGGATTGCTTGAGCCCAGGAGTTCAAGGCTGCAGTTCCATCCTGGGCTGCAGAGCAAAACCCTGTTTTTAAAAGAAAAAAAGAAATGTAAGTTCACCTGTCTTCCACAAATCCCCTCCCCATAAAGGTAAATACTGTTAACAATTCAGCAGTTATCTTTGTCAATTCTTTCCAACTTTTAACTGACATATCTAAATCTAGGGAGATATACACACAAACACACACACACGTTAATAGTTTCTTTGTATTGTTGTATTTTACCATCTAGTTGGGGTTTCTGATGCATGACCATGATTAATATTTTTTACCCTTAAACAATAACACTCATATTCTTATTCCATGCCCTTCTTTCTTAAGGGCCAAGGGTCAAAATCAAAAAAGTGGAGACATTTTTGGAAAACATGGGAACTAAAATCAAGGATGAGGAACTTGAGGAGCTCATGACCCAACTACCAACTGAGGGTGAGTATTACAAATATCTCTATGCTCTTCAGAGAAACATTAAGCCCTTCCATTAGAACTGCTGAAATTAGCCTTTTTAGCATCATAATGAAGTAAATGTAAAAACTTAGTTCTGAGTCATGATGAAACACCGTCTTCAAAAATGCTTTTTTTTTTTTTTTTTTTTTGAGACGGAGTCTCGCTCTGTTGCCCAGCCTGGAGTGCAGTGGCCAGATCTCGGCTCACTGCAAGCTCCGCCTCCCGGGTTTACGCCATTCTCCTGCCTCAGCCTCCCGAGTAGCTGGGACTACAGACGCTCGCCACCTCGCCCGGCTATTTTTTTGTATTTTTTTACTAGAGACGGGGTTTCACCGGGTTAGCCAGGATGGTCTCGATCTCCTGACCTCGTGATCCGCCCGTCTCGGCCTCCCAAAGTGCTGGGATTACAGGCTTGAGCCACTGCGCCCGGCCCAAAAATGCTTTTGAAAAGATATGTCAGGGATGCCACTTGAAGCCTCAGTCATGCCTGGGAATGCCACACACTTAAGGACCTGAAAGAAAAAGGAATTGAAGAGAACATTTAAGAGAAAAATCAAGAAAGTCAAAAGTCAAATGATAAATTAGAAATGAATAGTTGCAAGCCAAAGAGCTAATATCCCTAAGGTAGCAAAAGCCCTTGTACATTGATAAGAAACATACTGATAATAGAAAAAATAGGCAGATATACAAATAGATAATTCATACAAGAGGTAATACAATGCAAATCCCCAAATAGCATATGAAAATATGTTTAACCTCACCAATAATCATGAAAATGCAAAATAAAACACAATGCAACACTATCTTCATTGATTGGACTGGCAAAACTTAACAAGATGGATAATATTTAGTTCTTATGAAAATATGAGGAAAGGGACTAACTGATAAATTTGGGGTGGGAGTTGCCATTGCTATATATACTTTTTGAAAAGTCACCTGACAGTGTCTAAGGGGGAAAAGTCTTCTCTTTTCCCTGGTGAATCTAGCATACATTCCTCATGCAGTATACATTATTTCTTTGTGCTGGGTCCTGGTCCCTGTTTTGCCACAGACTTGCTGACAAATGATTTAACCCTACTTAATCTTAGTTCCTTCATATGTAAAATGGGGAGTTGAACTAAATGACGCTCTATGATTACTTTACTTCTTGCTCTGAAATTAGTATATATAATGCATGTAATGCAGTCTAGAATAGTCAGTAAATGTTAGTGATGATGGATGGTGGTGTTGTGGTGATGATGGTGAGGAAGATAGAAAAGTTGTTAACGAGCAGAACAAAAGGAGAGGCACTCCAAGATCGCTGAATAAGAAAAGCTCCAGTCTGTGCTCCCAGTGCGATCAATGCAGAAGATGGGTGATTTCTGCATTTCCACCTGAGGTACCTGTTTCATCTCATTGGGACTGGTTGGACAGTGGGTGCAGCCCACAGAGGGTGAGCTGAAGCAGGGCAGGGCATCACCTCACCTGGGAAGTGCAAGGGGTCAGGGGATTTCCCTTTCCTAGCCAAGGGAAGCTTTGACAGACTACCTGAAAAAACAGGACACTCCTGCCCAAATACTGCGCTTTTCCCAAGGTCTTAGCACCTGGCAAAGATATTCTCTCCCATGCCTGGCTCAGCAGGTCCCATGCCCACGGAGCCTTGCTCACTGCTAGTGCATCAGTCTGAGATCAAACTGCAAGGCAGCAGCCTGGATGGGGGAGGGGCGTCCACCATTGCTGAGACTTGAGTAGGCAGGGAAACTGTAACTGGGCAGAGCCCACCACAGCTCAACAAGGCCTACTGCCTCTAGACTCCACCTCTGTGGGCAGGGCATAGCTGAACAAAATGCAGCAGACAACTTCTGCAGACTTAAACGTCCCTGTCTGACAGCTCTGAAGAGAGCAGTGGTTCTCCCAGCATGGCGTTTGAGCTCTGAGAATGGACAGACTGCCTCCTCAAATGGATCCCTGACCCCTGTGTAGCCTAACTGGGAGACACCTCCCAGTAGCACCCAACAGACACCTCATATAGGCGGATGCTCCTCTGGGATGAAGCTTCCAGAGGAAGGATCAGGCAGCAATATTTGCTGTTCTGCAATATTGGTTGTTCTGCAGCCTCCGCTGGTGATACCCAGGCAAACAGGTTCTGGAGTGGACCTCCGGCAAATTCCAACAGACCTGCAGCTGAGGGGCCTGACTGATAGATGGAAAACTAACAAACAGAAAAGAATAGCATCAACATCAACAAAAAGGTCACCTACACCAAAACCCCATCTGTAGGTCCCCAACATCAAAGACCAAAGGTAGATAAAACCAAAAAGATGGGGAGAAGCCAGAGCAGAAAAGCTGAAAATTCTAAAAACCAGAGCACCTCTTTTCCTCCAAAGGATCGCAGCTCCTCGCCAGCAATGGAACAAACCTAGAAAGAGAATGACTTTGACAAATTGACAGAAGTAGACTTCAGAAGATCGGTAATAACCAATTTCTCTGAGCTAAAGGAGCATGTATGAACCCATCTCAAGGAAGCTAAAAGCCTTGAAAAAAGGTTAGACAAATGGCTAACTAGAATAAACAGTGTAGAGAAGACCTTAAATGACCTGATGGAGCTGAAAACCATGGCACAAGAACTTCGTGACTCATGTGCAAGCTTCAATAGGTGATTTGATTGAGTGGAAGAAAAGGTATCACTGATTCAAGATCAAATTAATGAAATAAAGTGAGAAGACAAGGTTAGAGAACAAAGAGTAAAAAGAAATGAACAAAGCCTCCAAAAATATGGGACTATGTGAGTAGACCAAATCTACATTTGATTGGTGTACCTGAAAGTGACGGGGAGAATGGAAACAAGTTGGAAAACATCCTTGAAGATATTATCCAGAACTTCCCCAACCTAGCAAGGCAGGCCAACATTCAAATTCAAGAAATACAGAGAACACCACAAAGATGCTCCTCGAGAAGAGCACCCCTAAGACACATAATTGTCAGATTCATCAAGGTGGAAATGAAAGAAAAAAATGCTAAGGGAAGCCAGGTAGAAAGGTCGAGTTACCCACCAAGGGAAGCCCATCAGACTAACAGTAGATCTCTCTGCAGAAACCCTACAAGCCAGAAGAGAGTGGGAGCCAATATTCAACATTTTTAAGGAAAAGAATTTTCAACCCAGAATTTCATATCCAGACAAACTAAGCTTCATAGGTGAAGGAGAAATAAAAGCCTTTACAGAAAAACAAATGCTGAGAGATTTTGTCACCACCAGGCCTGCCTTACAAGAGCTCCTGAAGGAAGCACTAAACATGGAAAGGAACAACCAGTACCAGCCACTGCAAAAACATGCCAAATTGTAAAGACCATTGATGCTAGGAAGAAACTGCATCAATTAACAGGCAAAATAACCAGCAAACATCATAATGACAGGATAAATTCACACATAACAATACTAACCTTAAATGTAAATGGGTTAAATGCTCCAATTAAAAGACACAGACTGGCAAATTGGATAAAGAGTCAAAACCCATCATGGTGCTATATTCACGACACCCATCTCATGTGCAAAGACACACATAGGCTCAAAATAAAGGGATGGAGGAAGATCTACCAAGCAAATGTAAAGCAAAAAAAGCAGGGGTTGCAATCCTACTCTCTGATAAAACAGACTTTAAAAATCAAAAGAGACAAAGAAGGCCATTACATAATGGTAAAGGGATCAATTCAACAAGAAGAGCTAACTATCCTAAATATATATGCACCCAATACAGGAGCACCCAGATTCATAAAACAAGTCCTTAGAGACCTACAAAGACACTTAGACTCCCACACAATAATAATGGGAGACTGTAACACCTCACTGTCAATATTAGATCAGCGAGACAGAAGATTAACAAGGATATCCAGGACTTGAACTCAGCTCTGGACCAAACAGAACTAATAGACATCTACAGAACTCTCCACCCCAAATCAACAGAATATACATTCTTCTCAGCAACACATCACACTTGTTCTAAAACTGACCACATAATTGGAAGTAAAGCACTCCTCAGCAAATGTAAAAAAAAAAAAAAAAAAAAAAAAAAACCAGAAATCACAACAAACTGTCTCTCAGATGATAGTGCAATCAAATTTGAACTCAGGATTCAGAAACTCACTTAAAACCGCACAACTACATGGAAACTGAACAACCTGCTCCTGAATGACTACTAGGTAAATAATGAAATGAAGACAGAAATAAAGATGTTCTTTCCAGCCAATGAAACAAAGACACAACATACTAGAATCTCTGGGACGCATTTAAAGCAGTGTGTAGAGGGAAATGGATAGCACTAAATGCCCACAAGAGAAAGCAGGAAAGATCTGAAGTCGACACCCTAACATCACAATTAAAAGAACTAGAGAAGCAAGAGCAAACAATGCAAAAGCTAGCAGAGGCAAGAAATAACTAAGATCAGAGCAGAACTGAAAGAGATAGAGATGCAAAAAAACCTTCAAAAAATCAATGAATCCAGGAGCTGGGTTTTTGAAAAGATCAACAAAATTGATAGACCGCTAGCAAGACTAATAAAAAAGAAAAGAGAGAAGTATCAAATAGATGCAATAAAAAATGATAAAGGGGATATCACCACCAATCTCACAAAAATACAAACTACCATCAGAGAATACTATAAACACCTCTATGCAAATAAACTAGAAAATCTAGAAGAAATGGAGAAATTCCTGGACACATACACCCTCCCAAGACTAAACCAGGAAGAAGTTGAATCCCTGAATAGACCAATAACAGGCTCTGAAATTGAAGCAATAATTAAGAGCCTACCAACCCAAAAAAGCCCAAGACCAGATGGATTCACAGCCGAATTCTACCAGATGTACAAAGAGGAACCAGTACCATTCTTCTGAAACTATTCCAATCAATAGAAAAAGAGGGAATCCTCCCTAACTCACTTTATTAGGCCAACATCATCCTGATACCAAAGCCTGGCAGACACACAACAAAAAAAGAGCATTTTAGA